GTTATAACTTCAAGGGATATGACTGTGATGTTATGCCTTTCATAGACTCATGGTATGTCTGCACCCTAACACATTGTGTTCCGGAACTGTTGCTTGTATAAAATAACTGTTGTGTAAACATTATGATTGTATTATTACCTCCCACTATATAAAGGGACATGTGACCATTTCCTCTTCGAGTTCTTCCCTGTGAAATCAGAGACAGATCTCCCTCGCAGCTGCTTGATTAAAGATTTTTCTATTATACAATAGTCTCTGCCTTAATCTTTGGATAGAGTTTTCCACAACAATATGAAATGGTGGAAACCATAGCTCTCTGCAAGTGATTTCTTGTCAATATCAAGTAGTATTGCATAGCTAGATGCCGTATTGTTGCATTCACATCCTGACTAGGAGAATCCTAAAAGCCTGGCAAGAACAAGGCTAAATGTCAAGCAATAAAGTGGGGTACACCAACATCCCCGGAGAATCCACACACCAAGGCAACTCTATCCCCCTCATCTCAGGGTCCCTTATTACCAGACAGTCAAAGCTTGCCAAGAGTCAACAGGTGTTATAATCTAGTCTCCATCTCGCAATGGAAAATAGATGTTCAAGTACTAAGAAACAAACAGCTCCCTTAGTTGACAGGGAAAACTCCTGCATGCAGGGCATATTCGGTAGCAGCTAGTAGCATGGTCCCTTCGCAGCAGCACACACCTTTGGCTTACACTACTACCAGAGCATTTACTGACAGACAGTGAGGAGAAGGGAAGAGAGGAGGGGAGTGCACTGTGACAGCTTACCAAGACTGTGGCAGGCAGCAGCAGCTTGACAGGCACAGCAAAGTCCCACTGCCTTAGCGCCTCTGGTGTTGTTGACAGTATAGAGAGGTGGGAGGACATCACTGCCATCCACAACACGGCTGCCTGCTCTGCTACACACACACCTCAGAACAGTGCCTTCCCTGTACAGGCATGCCACTCTTCCCAATTGCTTCATGTTCTTTATAAATACTTAAAAAACAAAAACAATACTTCCTAGCTTTGATCGCACTTTCAAGCTATACCAATTTAATAGGTTTATATGTCCTATATGTTTCACTGGAGAGGACCACATATTTAAGACATATTTAAGACATACTCATACTGCCATCTATTGGTGATTTAAGACACTCATACTGCCATCTATTGTATTTAACATTTCTGAACATGCAAGGCTATAATGATCAAATATGAATACTATCCAACAGCCACATGTTGAATCAATGTTAATCTAATTTTATAATCTCTAACTATTGACTCAAAAGCAGTAGAACAAATCTGTTTGTGGCTGAGGTGAATATATGCATTGGGCTTCAAACATACAATACCCTACTACAGTACATAAAACATGAAGTTGTTCTGCAGGCTGGAAAAACAAGTCAAGGATGGCCAGTTCCAGGTCCGCAGGGTGAGAAGTTCCCTGCTTGGTCAATACACCACAGAGTATACAGACTGTATTTGTTTAATTAATTCAGTTTTGCTAATTGAGAGATATCATGACAACCCCCCAGACTGTTAACTGTTCTCAACATTACCCACCATGCCAGGGATTTTTTATATGTTCTTCTGTTCAAATTGCTGTCATATGCAGAGAAACTCATCCACGCCATCTTCTCTCTGATCGACTACGGCAATGCGCTGTTTGGGGCCTCCCAGCCAAATCACTACAGAGGCTCCAATTAATCCAGAACAGTGCTGCCAGGACCAACAAGTCAGACCACATCGCCCCGATCCTGGCACAACTCCACTGGCTCCTGGTCAACTACAGGATCAACTCCAACATCCTCATGCTTGTATTTAAAGCCTTCAATGGATTGAGCCCCACCTACATCAGAGACCTCATCTCAATCAGCGAGCCACCTCGAACTCCCTGCTACAGCCACTCCCTACTGCTTTAAGTCCCCAAGACATCTCCGAACTATGGGTGACCAAGCCTTCTGCTCCCTTGCCTATGGAATGATCTCCCTGACCATCTGACCAGCCGCTCAATTACTCAGAACTTTTAAAACAGGCCTTAAAACCTACTTCTACAGACAGTCTCTCTCATAGTCCCAATCTAACATTTATTTAGCATCTAGCCTACTATTGCTATTTTACAGTGGGGGAAAAAAGTATTTAGTCAGCCACCAATTGTGCAAGTTCTCCCACTTAAAAAGATGAGAGAGGCCTGTAATTTTCATCATAGGTACACGTCAACTATGACAGACAAAATAAGAAAAGAAAATCCAGAAAATCACATTGTAGGATTTTTAATGAATTTATTTGCAAATTATGGTGGAAAATAAGTATTTGGTCAATAAAAAAAGTTTCTCAATACTTTGTTATATACCCTTTGTTGGCATTGACACAGGTCAAACGTTTTCTGTAAGTCTTCACAAGGTTTTCACACACTGTTGCTGGTATTTTGGCCCATTCCTCCATGCAGATCTCCTCTAGAGCAGTGATGTTTTGGGGCTGTCGCTGGGCAACACAGACTTTCAACTCCCTCCAAAGATTTTCTATGGGGTTGAGATCTGGAGACTGGCTAGGCCACTCCAGGACCTTGAAATGCTTCTTACGAAGCCACTCCTTCGTTGCCCGGACGGTGTGTTTGGGATCATTGTCATGCTGAAAGACCCAGCCACGTTTCATCTTCAATGCCCTTGCTGATGGAAGGAGGTTTTCACTCAAAATCTCACGATACATGGCCCCATTCATTCTTTCCTTTACACGGATCAGTCATCCTGGTCCCTTTGCAGAAAAACAGCCCCAAAGCATGATGTTTCCACCCCCATGCTTCACAGTAGGTATGGTGTTCTTTGGATGCAACTCAGCATTCTTTGTCCTCCAAACACGACGAGTTGAGTTTTTACCAAAAAGTTATATTTTGGTTTCATCTGACCATATGACATTCTCCCAATCCTCTTCTGGATCATCCAAATGCACTCTAGCAAACTTCAGACGGGCCTGGACATGTACTGGCTTAAGCAGGGGGACACGTCTGGCACTGCAGGATTTGAGTCCCTGGCGGCGTAGTGTGTTACTGATGGTAGGCTTTGTTACTTTGGTCCCAGCTCTCTGCAGGTCATTCACTCGGTCCCCCCGTGTGGTTCTGGGATTTTTGCTCACCGTTCTTGTGATCATTTTGACCCCACGGGGTGAGATCTTGCGTGGAGCCCCAGATCGAGGGAGATTATCAGTGGTCTTGTATGTCTTCCATTTCCTAATAATTGCTCCCACAGTTGATTTCTTCAAACCAAGCTGCTTACCTATTGCAGATTCAGTCTTCCCAGCCTGGTGCAGGTCTACAATTTTGTTTCTGGTGTCCTTTGACAGCTCTTTGTGGAGTTTGGAGTGTGACTGTTTGAGGTTGTGGACAGGTGTCTTTTATACTGATAACAAGTTCAAACAGGTGCCATTAATACAGGTAACGAGTGGAGGACAGAGGAGCCTCTTAAAGAAGTTACAGGTCTGTGAGAGCCAGAAATCTTGCTTGTTTGTAGGTGACCAAATACTTATTTTCCACCATAATTTGCAAATAAATTCATTAAAAATCCTACAATGTGATTTTCTGGAGAAAAGAAATCTCAATTTGTCTGTCATAATTGACGTGTACCCATGATGAAAATTACAGGCCTCTCATCTTTTTAAGTGGGAGAACTTGCACAATTGGTGGCTGACTAAATACTTTTTTCCCCCACTGTACCTGCCTTAATTCCAAATGTTTTTATTGTATATAATACATTTTTCCTCAGTAGAGCTTTGAGAAAACTCAAGAAAAGCACTTACAAATTAAATGTATTTTGTTCTAAATTACCTGTTTTTCACTGCCTCAACCTAGGTGAAATTCAAGTGTTTACATTGGGCTTTGAATTACTGTCTCATCCCCATGTTTCCCTCATGCTTGACTGAGCCATAATTGCCATTTAAAGTGAGGAGAGAAATTGACCGAGTTGGATCGTTGTTTTGTAATTTACACAATGTGAATAATGTTGCTCCTTGTGCACTTCAAGGTGTGTAGCGCATACTGTTAAGTCTTGCCAGGTACTTTGGATTACGTGTAGGTTAGGTTAACATTGCATGAGTATGAGCATGGATCATATGAAAGGGATCTGTACAAACCATCATTCTATTACCAACCAAACTCTGCATCTGCACTGTTCCAAGTAAATGTGTTTTTGTAAAATGTTCAGTGGAAATTGTTAAAATTAGTCCTTGTGCATACAGTTGTATGGTTTGTTGAACTTTGCAGTCATTGGTTTTTGTTTGACATAGTTTTTCACTTTAAAATGTGTCTGTCAGTGTTACCATGGAATTGCCCATAACTTAATTTACACAAGCCTCCCATAGAGGATTCCCATCTTTTTAACAGACAAGGCACTAACATAATCCATCCTTTTAAAATCACTCATATTTTGCAGTTACATCAACAACCTCTCTATGCCCCAACTTTCCATAACTGCTGCTGAGGGTCATTTCAGAAGCCTCATGAGTAAATGACACTATTCAGAATGACACAAGCTCAGATAGTAATTACACCAACACTGAATACCAGTACTAAACTAAAAATTTTTAAGTCTAATTGATATCAGGGTAAAGAAATTATAATAACAACCAATATTAAATCTACTAAGCTATATGGAATTGTTTTAAGGTCATAACAAGGATCATTTTGCCATTTGATTTTGAAGACCACTTGAAGTATCAAAAACAAATAGGCTATTGAAAAATGTATGAAACATTTTATTTGGCCTTTGCCATTAGCCCATACAAACTCATTGAATAACAGATTCCCCCCCCCCCCCAAAAGAAAATCAAAAGGAAGTTTGTTCTGAAGTGTCTATCCTATATTTGAGAGATCTAAGAAAGATTAGGGAAAAAAATCTAAACATTTAACCCTATTTTCGCAGAGCAAAACGGAGAACACCATTGTGTTCGTGGGAGTCTTAACTTTCCATAGAGGGGTCATCATTTATACGCCAAACAGTTCAGAAGCTATTGTGAGAAGACCGATTTTCGGGACATCGACCTTAGGGGGTTCAATGTGGCAACATGTATTTTCCTTCAAATGAGGAATCATTAAGAATTTCAAGGGAGACTACTCATTATTCATGCTATCCACAAGTGTAAACTTTATTAGTTTTAAAAGGAACAGAATGAAAAAGCCCTTACATCACATCATACATTATGGTTGGAGTACAGGAGGTAGAATTTAAAAAATAAAGGGGGGGGGGGGTGAAGAGAGAAGCACTTCTATAACAGAACATTCTACTGCTCCTGGTGCTACTGTATGTTAGAAAAAAACACAATTATGACACGCCTTGGATTTGGCTTGAGGTCCGTTAGTCAGCCTCTTCCTCCTCAGACTCAGATTCTGGGAAAAACAGATCAGATTTAAGTCAACTGAATAAACAGACTATGGTGCAATAGTGAATACAGCCAAAACTACAGACATCAGACGATGGGACTAGCAGATATTTTGAAGGTTTTTGTACCTACATTAGCTAGTTGAATTAATTGATTTTCAGTCGCTCTGGATAAGAATTTCTGATAAATTACCTGACTAATGTAAAATGTAAGCCATGCTCACCTTCCTCTGCGTTCTTGAGCCACTCCACAAATTTTTTCATCTGTTCCAGGAACACACTCCTTCCTTTGGCAACGTGGGCCTCTGTGTACCACTTCAGAATGGCCTCCTCACTCAAAACATCCGCTGGGAAAAATACATAAACATGAAAATTACAACTGCATGAAGATGCAGTTATGGCTACTTGACAAAGACAATTGTGCCAAACTACAAAGTGTTGATGTGAATCTGTTAGGCAACAGAAACATATTTTCTCATGTCACTCACCTTGCATTCCACACACTAACAGCAAAATATGCTTATTCAGCAAGTGAAAGCGTACATATGTCTCACCTCTCCCCCTCTTATATTTGGAAGAATACAAACCAATCTAAACTGACCACTGTCCCTCCAATATTTTCTGGTGGGCTTGGGTTGGCGGAATAGGAACACACTTATAATGGTAGTTAATCCAGATCCCGCTTTGATAAGCTCGGCGGGAAGGTTTTGGCTGCTACTGTCAATGCAGGGTCATTCAGAAAGGATCAGAAGATAGGATCAAAACACATTGGATACAAGTATCCAAGGTCCCTCCCTCGAACATCCTCCTCCAATGAGCTTTGATAGGGATTGAGGAAACAAGGACTGAGGATGCAGACAACGCTATTCACTGTTCTCCTTTACCTTTGTATAAGTAAGCATTGTCCAAGCTAGAACAACCCATAGGGCAGGAGCCCTTTTCCTGTTTCTGTGCGTAAGGCAGATTGATGTACAAGTACACTCCCTGGACAGGAAGCTAGTCTGTCACAGGGCCTTTCCCTCAATCCATCTCCTTAATGCTGAGTGCCAAGCAGAGGCATCGCTTCTGTTAACTAACCAAAGATATCTCATTGGCTCCTTCTTCTACCCGTGCTTTTACCTTTGTAGAGCAGCACCACGATCTTCTGGAAGGAGTTCATGAAGTGGATGTTGTCGTAGCAGTACTCCTGCATCTTCACGAGCAGCAGGATCTCAGACGCTCCCTGGGATGTAAACGCCTTCAGAAGGGGGCTGTATTGCTGCGGAGAGGTGGAGAGAACGGGGGTGTTTTGTTGAGTCATGAAAACTAGCGACAAAAAAATGACACTCAATCCCGTCACATTGTGGAGCGCCATGTGCCCATCTATGCCCTCCAATTCCAAGGCTGATTGTGAGAATCCTACGGAAATGGTGAACTCAAGTCTCTCTCCGCACAACTCATAGCCTGTAAGCAGTGAAAGTGATGGCTCGGTGAAATCAGTGCAAACCAACCAGCTCACCTTCAAGTGCTTGATGGCTTGTTCTGTGACCAGCTCCTCTTTCTTGTTCCACTCCACATAGCTCATAACACTGGTCCACACGATGCCGATCATGGTCTGCTCTGAGATGTTGTTCTTCTTCATCTCCTCCCTGGCTGAGGCAATGATCTGGAGGGAAAGGATGATAGGAACGTAGGTCAGTAAGTAAGGAACAATAGCTTCTGGTTATTGGGCATGTCATCTCCATCCCATGCTAACAAAATTAGGAATCATAATCTAACAATATCCTTCAACACAGACCAAGGCTGTGATCCGATTCTCTACCCCAAGTGTGCTCAAATTCACTCCTCCTCACTCCACATGCTAACACCAACCCAATGCTTCTAAATCCACAAGGGAGAATGAGAGCAATTGCACCCTTCAAGGGTTAAGGGTAGGGAACTCAACCAGTGGAGTCCTTCTCCAGCAATCAGCATAGACCCAGACTTCGGACTCACGTCTTTGAAAGCATCCCCGCGTTCCATTTGTTCCTGGAGATCCTTCTGAAGCTCCTTACGGGACCCTATGGCCTGCTGGTTCCTGGCAAAGTCTGACAGCTCTTTGAGACCAGCGTCTGTGAAGTACTTAGAGAAATGCTCACAGCTCCGCTTGTTGGCAGGGAACAGCTCCTGCAAGACACAAGGTGGAACAACAGGCTTTACATCACATAATTAAATAGAACAAATACTATTACATTGTATATTTATGCTTAAGCACTGTCCGACAGAGAACGCTTCTCCTTGGCAATTTCTCAATTCATCTTTCCTCGATTCCTTGCATCCTTTCTCATCACCTCCTTCTCAAAACCCATTGGAAAGATGGTCAAAGGGGATCGACCTTGGACCTTCTCCTCCAATACAGTTGAGGAGGCGGCGAGGAGATACAGCCAAATAGACAAATTGAGATACAACCTTTGTATTCCCGGGAGAGCTGCCCATTCTTAACTTCCCTGCTACCCAATTACTGTTTTACACTGACCCAAGGAAAACTAGCATGGCTTCTGTTTGGACATCACCTACATGATTGGTGGTCTCACTCACCAGAAGTCTGTTATCCATGCCGACCTTCCGGAGACTTCCTGCCACAGAGTTGATATCCTTCTCATGGATCCAGGATTTGAAAAGTTTCACAGCAAAGGCTGCAGAGACACCTGGGTAAAAAAAATAGGGGGAAAACGTTTATTTTAGGCCTAGTGCCTACCAGGTGAAAAGACAAATTCCACGGGACACGATTCTACAACTTTTACAAGTCTGCCCCGTAAAAACAGAAATGAAGCAACTTCAGACATAAGGACTGTTGTATGAGACAAAACCATAAATATGCCCTTAGTAAATTCACATTTTACAGTGAATGTATGCAACTTTCAATTTAAGTAAGCAAGTAACTGGATACGAGCTTGTAAGTATACAGGCTGGTTTCCAGGACACAGATTAAATCTAGTCTTGGATTTTTTTTTAAATAACACTCAATGGAGAATCTCTATTAAAAGTGATTTTTAGTCCAGGACCAGGATTAAAAGGATGATGCAAGATCAGATTAACTCATGGACTCTGTGTCCAGTATGAAGGAAGTTAAGAGGTAGTTTCACGAGCCAATCAGAGACATAAAAATTGTATCCATGAGTTCATCAGACTGGGTAAGTAGATAAAATCTCATACTATCCCTTTAATTTTTTGTAGCAGAAGCATGCCCTATTGAACTGGCAGTGCTGCACACCTTCTTTGACGAGGTTCTCATTGTAGAGGCTGTTGAGGATAGAGGCTGAGATGTTCCCATTGGCCAGCAGGATGCCAGTCAACATGGCCAGCTTGTTGCGCTCAGACTCAGTGAATCCCTTTAGGAAGAGTAGCAACTGCACAGGAGAGAAGAACAAGAGGGAAACTCAAACACTCTGAAACTTAGAATGGAATACAATAGAATGCTGGTATAAGAACAGAATGGAACGCAATTCTATCCTTACCAAACTTGAATGGCATATTCTCCAAAGACAGGAGTATACTGTTTGGATAGAATGCAGCACTTTGGACTGGATAACATTGAACATAAGTTGAAAGAATTGCATATTCTATAACCATGTCAGGCTCAATAATGTCATCCATCTGACATCTATCAAGACTGCATCCCAAATGGCACCCTATTCCCTTTACAGTGCACTCATTTTTACCAGAACCCTACGGATGTAATTTGGGAAACAGCAATGAGTTGAATAACTAATTTACGGTGACAACCGGAATATCCAACAAATAAGAGAGCAAGTCATATATTGAACAATGTTGCTCAAGAAGACAATCAACAATGTATTCACCTTCTTGATCTCCTCTTCGAACCCTTTCTCCAGGTACTTGTAACGCCTGATAAGCTTGTTGAAAACCTAGGTATCGAAAAGGAAAATAAAATCAGATCTCTAAAAAACAGCCCAATGTCAATACAAAAACTGTAGCACACTTAACAAAATCAACCTTTTCTGTTGGTAAAAAGGAAAAGGGGTTTGAACCACCACTACTAATATTGCTAGTAAGTCAAGGAAGCATCATATTCAGCTCTTTATTGCTAAACCAATAACAAACACCATTGCACAAGCGTACCTGAGCATACGCTTGCATGGTCTCCAGGTCTTCTTGTGCTGTAAACAGACAGAACTCAGTACGGGTCAAGTCATCTGACAAGGTACCCCCTGGGGCTGAACAAGAAGAAAAAGGGGAAGTTATTATACAGACTTTCGCACACATTTTTCATTCTATTCTTTCACCAGAATTATATTATTTTCCCAGCATTCTAGTGTATTCTATTCTTTCCCATTCTTACACTAACATTCTATCCTTACCCAGCATTCTATTATATTCCATTATATCCTTACCCAGCATTCCGCCAGCCACCAGGATGTCGAAGAGTGTCTCAGCATAGCGGCGGTAGTCAAGCTTGGCACCAGAGGCATCAAGAAATTTCGCAACAGCGTCCAGATCACTGCCAGTTTGGTTCAGACCTTGTACAATGGTTTCCTGAAACTGAGTAGGGTCAAACACCTTCTTTTCATCTGTTGAAAGATCAATGCATTCATTAGGGCCACAAATTTACATTTTAGTCATTTAACAGACGCTCTTATCCAGAGTGCCTTACAGTTCGTGAGTGCATACAGCATTTGACCAGTCATGATATCAATATTCAGTTTATACCCACCTCTCTTCCTAGTTTTAAAACGCTGGCCTGTAAGCGTTGGCTTCTGAATCTTTTGATTACTCATAAAAGACACCCTGAATGAGACAAAGAGAAGATTATATTATTATAGCTGAAAGATTAGCTCATGTTAGTTGCTTTAACTGCATTACTTTCCCAGCAGATCCGACCCGCTTGCTTACAGCTGTACTAGGGTCAGACAGCATTCCTGTATATATTAAGACACAGAGGAGCCGGCACAAGACATGGCTCGGAAAACGTACCTCAATCCAGAGATGAGAAATGCATACTCAATTGTCCCATTAACCCAACTGTTACACAAAGAAGATTGAACGACTGCTAGTTTTTTCCAGAAAACTGTCCTTTTTGTCCCCATGCTAGGTAGCAGAAGCCACAGCAGCCATTTTGAAATAGCAGTGTTAGCCAATCAGCTCCTTTGTTGTTCAACGGGATGTACCATTACATAACGGCTGCTGTTGTTACTGCTAGCTAATGAGGACGAAAATGTCAGTTTACTTATAAACAAAGTCATTCAATTTTCTCTGTGTAACAGTTGGGATAATGGGACCGTACCGGTAAAACGTGAGCCTATCACAAATAATACAACATGCCCAAAAAGCTACAAGCTATTACACCATTATTTAACATTACTGCATGTCAGACGAATGAAAAAATAGCAAATTGACTGGAAACCGGGTGGTATCAAATTGCGCAGTGGTTTGAGGAGAACACTTACATTTTGTCAAGGCAGAGATTAGTGGCTGAGACGCTTGCGGACAAGGCCTAGACAGAGGCGCGCGTGGACAACAGTGGATACATCAATTCAGGCTACAAGTGTAGGCCTAATGACAATCACAGAATGTCATTACAATACACGTAGGTGTTTTGTAACAGATGTCTCTTTCCATTCATCAAATTGCGGGTGCACAGTGCACTGTTTGTGTTTGGATGCTGAAATTACTTTGTGAGTGGACGAATATGTGCGGGTAGCCTACAGGAGCGTCTTTGTTTGACAATCTGATGAAAACATAATGACTGGTTGTGTTTATGCCACATTATGAAGGCATAGGCGGCGTGTCCTAAGGCTAGGGGAAGCTTTCCCTAAAGTATATTTAATTAAATTGGCAAAATGATATAGCCTAATTAGCTTACTCCTGTCTATACAGAAATAAATACAATAATTCAAAATAGGATACACCCGAAAGCATGATTTGTCCACAGAAGATCATTAGCTTGTTAAAAAAAAAACCTGTGGATTGTTTTAGATCACATTGCCTACAGTCGGAAGGGCCTGCAATTTGGGCAGCGCGAGCTGCAAATACCAAACAGATGATTGTTGAAGTGCAACTGTCAGTGAAAAGCAGAGACCCAGTCAGGCATATCGCAATATTTAAAAATACAATCGCTGAAAAACTGTTTGGAAAGCAAATAGCTATTGCTGTAAAGAGATGACAATGAAGACTCCAATCTGTCTTTTAGTTATCAAAATTCTTAATTTAATTGAGCGAACAGTAGCCTCATATTGGCACCAGTGGACATCAGCCATATCCCTGATGAGTGTGCAGATGCATATTCACTGTCTTTGTCATTGGGTCTGTGACACTTTTGTTTGATTTTAGACAATAATTTCCTCCTCCAGGATATATGGATTTCATATTGAATTTGTGTCTCCACTTTTCGTAGGCCAATTACATGGATCAGAGAAAATATTTTTTATTGATATGTTTGTCAGTGTCAGCAGAGTAGGCTACCCTGTAATTTTTTTAGTATAAAAAAAAATGCACTAGGGTGTCCCATACCGGTAAACAATTACATCTACTTTCACCCCTGCATTCGGTGTACATCCATTTCTCATCCCTGGATTGAGGTACGTTTTCCGAGCCATATCACCCCTGCGGTGTCTTAATACACTCAGTAATGCTGTCCGACCCTAGCGTAGCTGTAAATAATGGGGTCGGATCTGCTGGCTATGCGTTACTTAGCTAGCTAGTTAGCAAGCTTAAAGGCCCGCCGGCTGGCTAACTACACCGGCCTCGGAGATGCAACCATGCATGGCCAAGTTAGCTAGCTAGTTAGTAAGTTACTGACGAATTTAACTGCAAATCAACAAATACTGACCATCTGTAAAATCTTGCAAGACGAACTAGCAAACTACTGCTGTGAAGACATAGCTAGCTACAACGCATGCATGATTGACAGAGTTAACTAGCTATCTAGAGTAAGCTAACGTTAGCTAGCATGATTGCTAACGTTAGCAAACTTACGCAGGCGTAATAAACTTGATTGATTTAGCGATCTACAACTGTCGTCAGCATACCAGACATACAAGTTCAATTACACTACTTACCGAAATCAAAGTTATTCTCAAAAACAGTCGAAGAAACACGAAGTACTGCGACACAACTAAACTGGCTCGATCAAAAAACAGTGAAAAGTGAAGTGTGTACTACGGCTGCGCAAGGCTGATATGACGTGATTCATTATGCCGCGTTCATAACATCTCTAAATTTCGTAAGTACCCGCATATGACTGGGAAAACCCACAGGAACGCCCCTCCAACTGCTAATTGTGGGAAACTCGTATTTCATCGCGAACTCCGAGTTTCCCCACTTTCAATTCAATTTCAATTTAAGGGCTTTATTGGCATGGGAAACGTATGTTAACATTGCCAAAGCAAGTGAAGTAGATAGTAAACAAAAGTGAAATAAACATTTACATTAACATTCACGTCATTTAGCAGACACTCTTATCCAGAGCGACTTACAGTTAGTGAGTGCATACATATATATTTTTTTTTTCATACTGGCCCCCCGCAGGAATCGAACCCACAACCCTGGCGTTGCAAACGCCATGCTCTACCAACATCCCTGCCTGCCATTCCCTCCCCTACCCTGGACGACGCTGGGCCAATTGTGCGCCGCCCCATGGGTCTCCCGGTCACGGCCGGCCACGACAGAGCCTGGATTTGAAGTTCCAAAAGAATAAATACATTTCAAATGTCTTATTATGTCTATATACAGTGTTGTAACAATGCGCAAATAGTTAAAGTACAAATGGGAAAATAAATAAACATAAATATGGGTTGTATTTACATTGGTGTTTGTTCTTCACTGGTTGCCCTTTTCTTGTGGCAACAGGTCACAAATCTTGCTGCTGTGATGGCACACTGTGGTTTTTCACCCAGTAGATAAAGAAGTTTATCAAAATTGGGTTTGTTTTCTAATTCTTTGTGGATTTCTGTAATCTGAGGGAAATACAGTGGGGAAAAAAAGTATTTAGTCAGCCACCAATTGTGCAAGTTCTCCCACTTAAAATGATGAGAGAGGCCTGTAATTTTCATCATAGGTACACGTCAACTATGAAAGACAAAATGAAAAAAAAAAATCCAGAAAATCACATTGTAGGATTTTTAATGAATTTATTTGCAAATTATGGTGGAAAATAAGTATTTGGTCAATAACAAAAGTTTCTCAATACTTTGTTATATACCCTTTGTTGGCAATGACACAGGTCAAATGTTTTCTGTAAGTCTTCACAAGGTTTTCACACACTGTTGCTGGTATTTTGGCCCATTCCTCCATTCAGATCTCCTCTAGAGCAGTGATGTTTTGGGGCTGTCGCTGGGCAACACAGACTTTCAACTCCCTCCAAAGATTTTCTATGGGGTTGAGATCTGGAGACTGGCTAGGCCACTCCAGGACCTTGAAATGCTTCTTACGAAGCCACTCCTTCGTTGCCCGGGCGGTGTGTTTGGGATCATTGTCATGCTGAAAGACCCAGCCACGTTTCATCTTCAATGCCCTTGCTGATGGAAGGAGGTTTTCACTCAAAATCTCACGATACATGGCCCCATTCATTCTTTCCTTTACACGGATCAGTCGTCCTGGTCCCTTTGCAGAAAAACAGCCCCAAAGCATGATGTTTCCACCCCCATGCTTCACAGTAGGTATGGTGTTCTTTGGATGCAACTCAGCATTCTTTGTCCTCCAAACACGACGAGTTGAGTTTTTACCAAAAAGTTATATTTTGGTTTCATCTGACCATATGACATTCTCCCAATCCTCTTCTGGATCATCCAAATGCACTCTAGCAAACTTCAGACGGGCCTGGACATGTACTGGCTTAAGCAGGGGGACACGTCTGGCACTGCAGGATTTGAGTCCCTGGCGGCGTAGTGTGTTACTGATGGTAGGCTTTGTTACTTTGGTCCCAGCTCTCTGCAGGTCATTCACTAGGTTCCCCCGTGTGGTTCTGGGATTTTTGCTCACCGTTCTTGTGATCATTTTGACCCCACGGGGTGAGATCTTGCGTGGAGCCCCAGATCGAGGGAGATTATCAGTGGTCTTGTATGTCTTCCATTTCCTATTAATTGCTCCCACAGTTGATTTCTTCAAACCAAGCTGCTTACCTATTGCAGATTCAGTCTTCCCAGCCTGGTGCAGGTCTACAATTTTGTTTCTGGTGTCCTTTGACAGCTCTTTGGTCATGGCCATAGTGGAGTTTGGAGTGTGACTGTTTGAGGTTGTGGACAGGTGTCTTTTATACTGATAACAAGTTCAAACAGGTGCCATTAATACAGGTAACGAGTGGAGGACAGAGGAACCTCTTAAAGAAGAAGTTACAGGTCTGTGAGAGCCAGAAATCTTGCTTGTTTGTAGGTGACCAAATAGTTATTTTCCACCATAATTTGCAAATCAAATTCATTAAAAATCCTACAATTTGATTTTCTGGATTTTTTTTTCTCATTTTGTCTGTCATAGTTGTCGTGTACCTATGATGAAAATTACAGGCCTCTCTCATCTTTTTAAGTGGGAGAACTTGCACAATTGGTGGCTGACTAAATACTTTTTTTCCCCACTGTATGTGTCTCTAATATGGTCATACATCTGGCAGGAGGTTAGGAAGTGCAGCTCGGTTTACACCTCATGTTGTGGGCAGTGTGCACATAGCCTGTCTTCTATTGAGAAGGAATACCTGGGATAGGATAAAGTAATCCTTCTACCCCCCCCCCAAAATAAATAAATAAATAAAAACATTGTGGTAAGGGGGGGGGGGGGGGGGGTTGTGCACACTGCCCACAACATGAGGTGTAAACTGAGCTGCACTTCCTAACCCCAAAAATAAATAAATAAATAAAAACAAAGTGGTTATCCCACTGGCTATAAGGTGAATGCACCTATTTGTAAGTCGCTCTGGATAAGAGTGTCTGCTAAATGACGTAAATGTAAATGTTAATGAGAGCTTTCCTTAAGTTTGGGTCAGTCACAGTGGTCAGGTATTCTGCCACTGTGTACTCTCTGTTTAGATCCAAATAGCATTCTAGTTTGCTCAGTTTTTTTGTTAATTCTTTCCAATGTGTCAAGTAATTCTCATTTATTTTTATTTTTATTTAACCTTTATTTAACCAGGTAAGCCAATTGAGAACAAGTTCTCATTTACAACTGCGACCTGGCCAAGATAAAGCAAAGCAGTGCGATAAAAACAACAACACAGAGTTACATATGGGGTAAAACAAAACATAAAGTCAAAAATACCACAGAAAATATATATACAGTGTGTGCAAATGTAGCAAGTTATGGAGGTAAGGCAATAAATAGGCCATAGTGCAAAATAATTACAATTAGTATTAACACTGGAATGATAGATGTGCAAGAGATGATGTGCAAATAGAGATACTGGGGTGCAAATGAGCAAAATAAATAACAATATGGGGATGAGGTAGTTGAGTGGGCTAATTTCAGAAGGGCTGTGTACAGGTGCAGTGATCGGTAAGGTGCTCTGACAACTGATGCTTAAAGTTAGTGAGGGAGATAAGAGTCTCCAGCTTCAGAGATCTTTGCAATTCGTTCCAGTCATTGGCAGCAGAGAACTGGAAGGAATGGCGGCCAAAGGAGGTGTTGGCTTTGGGGATGACCAGTGAGATATACCTGCTGGAGCGCATACTACGGGTGGGTGTTGCAATGGTGACCAATGAGCTAAGATAAGGCGGAGATTTGCCTAGCAGTGATTTATAGATGGCCTAGAGCCAGTGGGTTTGGCGACGAATATGTAGTGAGGACCAGCCAACAAGAGCGTACAGGTCACAGTGGTGGGTAGTATATGGGGCTTTGGTGACAAAACGGATGGCACTGTGATAGACTACATCCAATTTGCTGAGTAGAGTGTTGGAGGCTATTTTGTAAATGACATCGCCAAAGTCAAGGATCGGTAGGATAGTCAGTTTTACGAGGGCATGTTTGGCAGCATGAGTGAAGGAGGCTTTGTTGCGAAATAGGAAGCCGATTCTAGATTTTACTTTGGATTGGAGATGCTTAATGTGAGTCTAGAAGGAGAGTTTACAGTCTAACCAGACACCTAGGTATTTGTAGTTGTCCACATACTCTAGGTCAGACCCGTCGTGAGTAGTGATTCTAGTCGGGTGGGCGGGTGCCAGCAGCGTTCGATTGAAGAGCATGCATTTAGTTTTACTAGTGTTTAAGAGCAGTTGGAGGCTACAGGAAGGAGTGTTGTATGGCATTGAAGCTCGTTTGGAGGTTTGTTAACACAGTGTCCAATGAAGGGCCAGATGTATACAAAATGGTGTCGTCTGCGTAGAGGTGGATCTGAGAGTCACCAGCAGCAAGAGCGACATCATTGATATACACAGAGAAAAGAGTCGGCCCAAGATTTGAACACTGTGGCACCCCCATAGAGACTGCCATAGGTCCAGACAACAGGCCCTCCGATTTGACACATTGAACTCTATCTGATGAGTAGTTGGTGAACCAGGCGAGGCAGTCATTTGAGAAACCAAGGCTATTTAGTCTGCCAATAAGAATGCGGTGGTTGACAGAGTCGAAAGCCTTGGCCAGGTCGATGAAGACGGCTGCACAGTGCTGTCTATTATCGATCACGGTTATAATATCGTTTAGGACCTCAAGCGTGGCTGAGGTGCACCCATGACCAGCTCGGAAACCGGATTGCATAGCGGAGAAGGTACGGTGGGATTCGAAATGGTCGGTGATCTGTTTGTTAACTTGGCTTTCAAAAACTTTAGAAAGGCAGGTCAGGATGGATATAGGTCTGTAACAGTTTGGATCTAGAGTGTCACCCCTTTGAAGAGGGGGATGACCGTGGCAGCTTTCCAATCTCTGGCGATCTCAGACGTTACGAAAGAGAGGTTGAACAGGCTAGTAAATAGGGGTTGCGACAATTTCGGCGGCTAATTTTAGAAAGAAAGGGTCCAGATTGTCTAGCCCAGATGATTTGTAGGGGTCCAGATTTTGCAGCTCTTTCAGAACATCAGCTGTCTGAATTTGTGTGAAGGAGAAGCGGGGGGGGCATGGGCAAGTTGCAGTGGAGGGTGCAGAGCTGGTGGCCGGGGTAGTGGTAGCCAGATGGAAAGCATGGCCAGCTGTAGCAAAATGCTTGTTGAAATTCTCGATTATTGTAGATTTATCGGTGGTGATAGTGT